ATGTATCTTTAAAATTTACACCTAATTTATTAATAAAAGTTTATTGGAGCAAGACTCCGTTGGATTTAAAAAAAAAATGAAGAACTCCTATTTCACTTAAATATCCTAAAAAATATATAATATTTATTTTTTATTATAATTTATATAAATTAGAATACACAATTTTAATATTTTTATCTAAGTACGTGATTACAACTGATTTGAAAACGATTTGCCTTTGACAGTGCGAGAAACAAAAAAAAACTAAATCATGATCAATTTTGATCAGCATTGCTACTTGATTATTTAATTGTATTACAATTCACAATAATTAATGAGATTCGTAATATCAAAAAGAAAAATCAATTTTATGTGACAAAATCGAATGGAGCCAAATCAGCCCATATGACATGTTCTTTTTTACGTAGTCACTTTTAATTTTGTGTCAGTATTGATCACTATATATGTGTACCATAAATTGTACCCCGTTAATTTAGGTAATACCAAAGCGTAAACATTATTGGTGATGATTTTATAACTCTCGACATTTGATGTGAAATGTAATTATTATTGGTAAAATTTGTCACTGGCTACCAGTAAAAAAAAAATAGAATATAGAGATTTTTTATGTTGCATTACTAAGTATTAATTCAAAACGGCGTGACTATTATGTAAAACCTTGTGATTATGGAATTATTTTTTACATAGCATTAATAGGTATTGGTTTTATTATATAGATACAAATAATAATATAGTAATCATTATATTGATTCAGGAAATACCTAATCTTATTTAGGAGGTTATAATTCTATTCAAGGGTAATAGGATAAAGGTCTATCCCCAGAATAAAGAGCTATCCCAGGGGTTAGGATAAGAGTTTTGATCAGTTCATGATAAAAATTTCATTGCCTGAAATTAATTACCATTTAAGGGATCTCCGTATTTAAAGATTGCACCTCAGATATAATCACCTCTGGTAATAGCTGTAGTAAAGAATCTGAATAAATAATTTTTTTTTATGAATTAATGCATATTTTACTATGATTATTATAATAATTTAAGAATTGAATTACTTATTTCCTTTTCGGGACAAATGAATATTTTCCTATTTGCGAGAAGACGTGGTTTTTTATAAATGTTAAAATGAATTAGTTGAATAATAATTAATTTTGATGGTGGTGATAATGATGATAACACGAAAAAGTGGAGATGGAGATTTACCACCACCACCACCCTCATCATCATCAGCATGATTTTTTGTATTAATTAAAAATATTGCTTTGCCGCATTTAAAAAATCTTCATTTGTATCTACAATACCATAAACTTTTTTAATGCCACTTCACATTGACCATGCTTATAAAGAAAAAAACGATTTATAAGAAATGCAGGACAAGGAACATATCCATTTTTCAAAATCTATAAATAAATTTTATTAATCTATGTATTTTGTAATTTGGTCCATTCTTCTTTGAATTCTTTTCTCTATGAAGTTTTTATATGACCATTATTATATTTATTGCACTGTTGTCTAAGATGAGGAATTAAGCAAGTAATAATAATATAAACTTCTAAATCAAACCTAGGACGAAAAAATTTTGGAGGATAATCTCTTTTTATAACTATCCAATGTGATTCGCACAACATTGTAGTTTGAAATAGACAAATTTGATCTGGAGTTTCAGAACGTGCCACAAAATCCACATTTCTTTCTTATACCAATTATTCCATAAATAGGCCCAAACATTTTGTAAGTTATTATTAGAGCAAAATTGATAAATTTCATATATTTGTTTTCTTCTTTTGTTAATAAATGTCCATAAATTAATGAATGCAAATGCATGTGTTTTTCTATAAAATTAAGAATAATTGTTCAAAAATCTTTAGGACAAAAACAGAATTCTTTCATTTTATAAAATCATTTAATTATGGATAAAATTCTATATCTATTAATTCAAAAATTTGATATGCTATAATTAATATTTTAAGGGGCGTATTATCTGTAAGACACTTTTTCACTGCCCTTTTAATGTGTCATAAACAAATTTGTATTTTAGAATTTATCCAAAATTGTTTTGCAGCTGAATCTTTATCTGTGAGAAAAAAATTGAATATTATCCAACCCAAATTATATAATGATTTAAAAAATAAAATCAAAATTTCCGTACGTACTCCATCATCTTTGATATTTCCTTCAACAAAAAGATATGCTAATGAAAACCCGGCTCCATCGAATTGACCAATGATCGCATAAAGTTCATGTCCTAATGTATTTGTTTTATAAGTTGCATTCCATATTATTTCATTGTTCTTCTTTAGTAATTCAAAAAAGGAGTTGTAAAACTCAAATATTTGATACCTTCATATTATAATTATTATTTTCTAAAAGAATCTTTGCTGAATTTATTTGATTATTATTTTCATGAATATATTCTGCTTTAACAAATTCAACCACCATGAATGAACTTGTTTTCAGTCAAATTAGGATTATTCTGTTCCAATTGTTTAAAAATGTCACTTGGAGAGAGATGAATATTTTTTTCATTTCTGTTTTTATTAATTCACTGACATTGAATCTTTCAGGACGTTTACGAAATATTGCAGTAATAATTGTAATATTAAGATTGCGGTTACAATCAAACCTTTCTATTGGCTCTCTATCTCTTTGATCTTCAATAGAGGCATGTTTTTTAGATTTTTGTTATCTTGTGAACATTTATAATGAAATGTAAATATGTTGAATTCTTTTCAAATTATATTTCTTTTTATAGCTAAAAAAAATAAATTTAATAATTAATAATTTATTATTTATATTTATTATTTATAATAAATTTAAAAACTTACATGCAATATTCATCATTTTTTCCCAATACATCAGATATTTATTCAAAATTTATTTAATTTAGTTCATTTTCTAAATATTCAATTGTACCATTTATAGTAATTTCATTATAGTTTTTCCTGTTTCTTTTAAAGATAGTAGTTCTTCTTGGTAATATAATACATGAGACTTTTTAGTTGAATTTTGTTGCCGGCACAAGTTACAGGATTTTTTTTTGTCACCATAGTAAAGTAATTAATGGAAAGAGTTTTTCGGCAAACTTTGCATAGTTTTGTATTTTCACCCAATTCTTGTATGTTATTATTTTGTAAAGGCGTGTATTTCTCGTATCAGTTTTCTAAAAACAAACAAAAAAATTTATTCAAAAAAAAAATCGCATCTTTATTTTTATTTTTGTTTATAATTTGAGCATTGTACGAAAAAAAAAATTTAATGCCAATATTTATTATATTTTCAAATGTGTTGCACAGAAAAAACATATATCTGATGATCTGATTACGTAAATTTTTGGGGTAGTTCACTCTAATTTATCTGGAGCGAAGCGAAGGACACTATATTTCTACGCACTATCATAAATTTCACCTATCCCTCATGTGATAGTGACCCAATGAGATCGCGTTTCTTATTTTTTAGATTTTAATTATGCTCCGGACTTACAACGGTTCCCGTTTCCTAGTCCTAGTGATAATTGATCTCCATATTTATTGATTGCAACTGGGCCACTTCAGATATAATCATTTTTTTAAAAAAATTCAATGCACCTCAGGTGACAGCTGAAATCAAGAATCTGATATATAAATATAAAAAGGTAAAAAATTTTTTTTTATGAATTAATGCATATTTACTATGATTATTATAATAAATCTAATTACTTAATTTCCTTTTCGGGAGGGGAACAAATGAATTAGTCGAAGAAATAATTAATTTTGAAGGTGGGGATACTGGATGATAACACGAATAAGTGGAGATGGAGATTTACCACCATCACCATCAACAGCGTCACCACAGCATTACCACTAATTCATAATCATCATACAATTATAATTTTGTTGATTAAAAGGTCGTTGATGATTATGATGTTGATAATTATATCATAATCAAGCAATACATGGAGATTATATAACTATAGACAAACAACTTCCCTACTGCTATGCCATCTTCACTTGATCAACATATCAACATACACAGTGGCGGTCAAAAGTATTGCATCACCTGACTTTTTGCTTTTAAAAAATTCTGCCTCCTGAACAATTGATTTTAGAACAATAGTTACTATACTGTACTTATTTTAATCTTTAAGTTTTGGAGAATTTTTTAAATTTTTTTTGTGCTAAATTAATAATGCTGATTTTTCGCAAATAGGTGATCGACATCAACAACTGGCACTTAGTAAAATTTCGATAATTGAGAAAATTTTATATGGTACAGCTACAGTGAGAATTGATATACCAAATTTCGTGACTATCGGGCTAGTGTTTGCTGCGTAATTCACTCTCGAAAATTGAAATTTTACATATGAAATAATAAAAAAAATACTTGAGAGTGAATTACGCAACCACCGGCCGATCGGCACGAAATTTGGTATATCAATTCTCACTGTAGATGTGCCATATAAAATTTTGTTCAATTTTACTAAGTGCCAGTTGTTGATGTCGATCACCTATTTGCGAAAAATCAGCATTATTAATTTGGCACAAAAAAAATTTAAAAAATTCTCCAAAACTTAAAGATTAATGAGTATAGTAACTATCGCTCTTAAATCATCGTTCAAGAGGCAGAATTTTTTAAAGGCAAAAAGTCAGGTGATGCAATACTTTTGATCGCCACTGTAATAATAATATACAGTAAATACATCAAATAATAATCTATTCTCGAAAAATCGATGTAAATGATAAGATTCTGGCAATTTTGGGGTGATTGTGGACTTTATCATTCCATAATCACCGAGCAACTGCAACATCATCATCTTCGTCCTCAGCAGCATTTAATATTCCTCAGACATATAACTACTATTTTGTGTTTGGATAATAAAATCAGATGATGATGATAATAATAATAATAAATTAGTGACGCGGAAAAACAAAACAAACAAAATGAAAAGAAATTAATTAATCGAATTTAGAAGATTGTTTAATATTTGTCATTTAGAATGATTTAAAAGTTTTGACTCTTTAAAATAAACTACTTATTAGTTAAAACTTTATTAATGTTTAAATGATGTGAATAATTGAAGAATTAATAAATAATTATTACTTATTTTCCTTTTCGGAAAAGAATGTAACTTTTTCCTATTTGGTAGATTTGTTATAAATACCGGAATTAAAATAAATTAAAATAAGCGCAACTTGAAAAATCGCGTGATTTAACAAAATGTACTCAATATTTGTAATATATAAAAAAATGGATATTTTATTTAATAAAAGAATCTTATTTACACACTCTATACTTAATGTTAAGATTTTATAATATAAAAAAAAAAAACAATAAATACTTTATAATTTAATAAGAAAATACAAATAAAAATATATAACGCTAAAATTTATTAAAAATCCAAATCATCGAGATCACCTAATTAAAAAAATAAAAATAAATTAAATTAAATATAACAAATAATTATGAATCAAAAAATGAATTTAACATGAAATATAATTGATACTTACTAAAATGAATTTGTTAATTCTCCAAGTTTTTTTTCAAAATTTTCATCATTTTCAGGCTTTGGAAGATTTGAAAAATCGAGAAGTCTACTGGTATAAATTGCTTGTGGATGTGTTTTATAATTAGTTGGAGTTGTTGTAATTGCTGTATCAGTTGTTTGATTTTTGGAAAATTCTTCAGCTTCTTTAATTTGAATTGCAATTTCGCTATTTTCATTATAATAATCATCACAGTATTTATTCAACTTTATATGTAATTCTTCAAAAGTGAGTCGATGTGTAATTCGAGCATCCCAGCATCGCATAATTATTTGTGTAATTAATTTAGGTGTGTGAAATGGAATTTTTGGACGAAATCCATTACATATATTAAAAGCCAAATCTTTATCATGCGACACACCGTGATATGGGGGAATTCCAGTGATCATTTCGTAAGCTACAAATGCAAATGAATAAACATCGGCAGCCTTTGTATATTCTCTTCCAACTAATACTTCGGGAGCCATATAGGGTAATACTCCAGAAATGGTATACTTTTGTAAATTTTTTGCGTTTTCTGTAGTTAATTTACTCAGTCCAAAATCTGTTATGCGCATTTCAGAATACGAATACGAATCTTTCAAAATATTTCCGGGATGCAAATCACCATGAACTATATCTAATTTATGAATTTCTGAAAGTTCATTAGCTAAATTTTTTAAATAGTATAATTTACTTTCCCAATCGATATTATTAAAATTATTATTTAAATAATTTCTAAGACTTCCACCTTTACAATATTCTAAAACCATTATAAATTCGTGAGTTTCTGGATCTCTTGCAATTCCATAAAATCTAACTGATGTTGTTCCAACATTTGCTTTCAAGTGAATTGCCATCTAAATAATATTTTTTTTTAAATTATAATTAATATATTATATATTTTCAAATAGATTTTCGTATTAATTAAAAATATTGCTTACCTCATTTAAAAAATCTTCATTTGTATCTACAACGCCATCAAACTTTTTTAATGCAACTTCACATTGACCATGTCTTCTCCACCGTTGATTTTCGACAATCCAATCATAAATATATCCATTGACCCACTTAGCATAATAAATAGTACCATAACCGCCTTTTTCTATTTGTTTAATATCTTGAAATTTATCATAAGGTATCCATTCTATTGTTTTTCTATCAGCATTTAGTTGAGCGTCTTGGATAAATTTATCTATCGTGGAATTTCCGCTTGTCCATTTATCAAAATCATTTTTAAAATGTATTGAGTTGCACGGTCTGCACCACTGATGATATTGATTGTATTGATGATTGCATTCTGAGCATACATAAAGCATTTTCTGTTCGCTTTATATTTTGTAAGGTAGTAAGGTAGAATTTTATTTTTCTTAAAAAAAATCAATAAATAAATTTGTATCGGAATCTACGTCCGATGAATGGGCTAATTTTTTTTAACCATCGGGGTACTAATTACACACAGAATTATATATAGAATTAGTTTACCGCCACAAGATTTGCTGTACCACTTCAGAATAGGCTGTAACACTAATTAAGACTTCACATTAAAAAAAAAGCCACAATATGAGAATTTAATATTAAATTTAACTTAAAATATGGAAATTATTTTATATCTTCATATTTAGTTGAGTAAACAATTTATTTTTTTTCGATTTAAATCTAAAATCTAAATTTTATAAAACCAGTATAATTATAAAACTTTATCCTACTTTTTTTTTTTAATTCCAACGGAGTCATGTTTTATTAAACAATTTATTTTGCAGTTGATAAAAATTAAACAAATTTA